GCTTGTGTGTATGTGTGTCCAAGGTTGGTGTTGAGCATCTCCTTTGGTCGCTCTCCACTCGTCCTAGTTTGACTTCTCTGGCTATGATTAAAAACTCAGACAGAAAGCAACAAAGGGGAGGAAAGGATTGTTTGGCTTATACTTCCAAGTCACAGTCTACCTTTGCGGAAAGCCAGGGCAGGGTGTTTCTCAGGGACTGTGGAGGGATGCCCCTTGCTGGCTTGCTCACTGGTTTGCTTGCAGACCTGTGCTTCATCAGACGAGCCCTGCGTCAATTAATAATCACGACAATCACACATGTGTGCCCACAAGCCAATAGTATGACAACTCCTCAGCTGAGGTTTCCCTTTCACACCACTCCAGGCTAAAGACTAAGGCTAACCCTCACATACTGAAGCAGGGGTTGTCATCTGAGCCTGGGGAGAGCCAATGCAGCTAGTCTCACTAACCAGATGGCTTTTCCTTCCAAGGAGAGAATGACAGGAAGCCTGCCATGCCTACGTGAGTTCTAAGGATCTCAACTCCAGTCATCACACTTGTGCTTAGTGCTTTAACTGAAGAGCCTTCTCCACAGCCCTGGTTGTTTTCTTTAATTGTACAGATGAATAAGGCTTGCTCTGATACCGCAGTGTATGCATACTTGACCATATCTAGTCATCCTCCTTCTACCCCCATCCTCTCTGCTCCCATCACCCACCTTTCAGTAACTGATAATCCTTCTTCTATTTCCAAGGTGTTATCCCTGAGATCTACAATAACCTCAAAAGCTTGGCTCCCAGTGTGACAAGGTTTAGGCACAAAGCCTTTGGGAAATGATTGGATGAGGGCTCTGACCTCATCAGTGGAGCATCCCACCAACAAATCCATAGTTTCACAGACCACTGAGAAGTGATGGAATGTTAGTATATGTTACTAATTTTGCTACTGCCATCTCCTGCCAGGAAGGTCTGGCTTTGGGAGTTCCTAAAAGTCCAAGTATGAGCATGAAAACAAGACTGGAAAAGCAGTGAACTATGAAAGTTCGTATGTTCAGTATACTAACGCCAGGAAGACGCAGAAGGGACACCAGCTGTCCTCAGTACCGTCTCCCAGGAGCTAACATACAGAAGGAGCAGTGGTGGGGGATAACAGGTGGGAGGGAAGAAGCATGCACAGTCAAGCAGTCTTGGTGTTCAGAAGTTTTCTCTGTATTGTCCACACATGATTGACAGCAATAAGAAGGCAGCTGTTGCCTGGGGCAGTTTCACCTCTAGTCAAAAGAAGATTACTCGTCACGCCTTCTGTCCCGAGATGAATGGAGGAGAACATGACTCACAGAAAAGGACAAGTCCAGACAGCAGGGCGGAGCAAGTTCCTTTAGGATTAGTGTAATGACTAGGGAATTCTGAGCCATGCCCCAGTGATTGGAAGCAAGATGACATAACCCTGGTGGTTGACACCATGCTCATCATTGTGTCCCCGTAAATCCTGAAAACGTCTTTAGTGCCTTGGTGTGTTCAGCCTTGGATAAGAATTATTATTTATCTGAGTGCTTCTTAAGTGATTGTCATGTGTCATGCAGAGTTGACTAAGAATCCAAGCTGAAACAGAGCCACAGCACAAAAACTTAGATGGTAAGCTTTCATCCTCTCACTGAACATCTCTGTTTACTAGAAGATGCTGTGAGCTGGCTCTCTGGAGCCCATTCCCTGTGGTGGGATACCTTGTTCAGTCTTGTTACAGGGGGAGTGAGCTTGATCCTGCCTTAATTTGATATGCCAGATTTTGTTGACTCCCCATAGGAGACGTTACCCTTTCTGTGGAGCAGATGGGAAGTAGGAGGGGGAAAATAGGGGCTGTGATTGGTATATAAAATGAATAAAAATTTTAAAATAAAAAAAGATACTGTCTCAAAAAATGGAGGAAGTAGATTACAGGGGAAATTTCTTATGGGCATATTTTCTTCCCTAACTCCTTCTTGTGTCTCTTCCTGACTGCCATGGGTGAGCAGATATGCTCCACCACACATTCCTAACTCACCACAAACCTAGAAACTACAGATCCAAATGACTATGGACTAAAACCCTGAGAAAATGATCCAAAATGTTTCTTCTCTTAAGATTATTTTTCTCGGGTCTCTTAGCAACAGAAAACAGTCTAACACAAACAGCTGAGAGATAAGGTAGTTGCTATCTCTGTCCCTAATGCTGTGGTCCACAAGCTTTTGCAATTGATTTGTGGTAGATGATTACAAAATACACCAACTCATGAAAGCTGAACAACTCACTACTGGATGAGAATTGGCCAAGTCAGAAGTCAAGAAGGAAATTTAAAATGTTTTAGACTTGAATGAAAGTGAAAATACAACATACCCAAACTTGTGGTACCTGATGGGGCAATTTTAGGAGACAAGTTCGCAGCATTACAAACTCACATCAAAACACTAGAGAGTTCTTGCATCAATAACTTATTGGCACATTAGAAAGTTCTAGGAACATAAGAAAAATAACACCCAAAAAGAATAATTGGGAAGAAACAAAGTCAGTGCTGAAATTAGTAAAATAGTAACAAAAAACACAGAGAATACTATAAAAATCTGCATACTACCAACCTGGAAAACTTTTTTTTATTTGGTTTTACTAGACAGGATTTCTCTGTTTTGTTTTGGAGGCTGTCGGTCCAGCCTGGCCTCGAACTCACAGAGATCCGCCTGCCTCTGCCTCCCGAGTGCTGGGATTAAAGGCGTGCGCCACCAATGCCCGGCCTGGAAAACTTAAAAGAAAGGGATAATTCTTTTTTTCTCTTTTTTTAATGTTCTTAATTTAAATAGAATTATATCACTTTCCCCCTCCGTTTTCTGTCCCCAACCCCCTAGCCACCCTCCCCTGAGTCCCTGCCACACCCCCACTCTCAAGTTGGTAGCACTCTTCTCTTATTATATTTATAACATATACCAATTAATAAATGCAGCCTACTGAGAAGATACAGTTACAAGGCTGGCCACTCTGCAATGGACAACAAATAATGGGGCTCATCATTTACCCACTATGATTGATTGGCATAAACCCAGAAATTCAGAGATAGTTCAACACACATAAACATTATGAGCATAATCCACCTTATAAACACAAAAAATGATCATCTCATTAGATGAAGAAAAATCCAATATCCCTTCACAACAAAATTCCTGGAGAGACTAGTAATACAAGGGACATAATAAATACCATTTACAGCAAGCCCACAGCCAACATCATCTTAAACAGAAAGAAACTCAAAGCATTTCTGTAGTAGGAATATTACAATATGCGGGATTGGGATGAAGATAGTTCATTTTATTGGGGAGAAATCACTTACATGAGAAACCGATAACCCAAAGTTATCACTCCAAGCATCCAATCTCAGCTGCCCTCCAAGAGCTGCCCTGAACACAGAGAGAGCTCTAGGCTTCAAACCCACAGATCTAGTCCTCTCCTCAGTCATGTCCTGACCTGTGACCATGCCCAAACGGGTGTGATCAGTGCTACAAGTATGGGCGGGATGTATATCTCACTATGAATTTCCATTAAAATCAGAAACAAGGCAAGAATGTCCACTCACCCAGTATCTATTCAGATCAGAAACAAGGCAAGAATGTCTACTCCCCCTGTACCTATTCAATACAGTACTTGAAGTTTTATCTACAGCCCATTGTGGTTTTATCTTAATATTTTCAGGCATGTTACTGGGCTTTACAAGTCATCTTGGGGGTTGGCTGGCTGGTTTGTTGGTTTGTTGGTTGGTTGGTTGGTTGGTTGGTTGGTTGGTTGGTTGGTTGGTTGCCTGACTGGCTGACTGGCTGGCTGGTTGGTTTTGTTTGAGGCTGAAACTCACTATGTACCTGAAGAGGACCATAAAGTTCTGATACTCATGAGTTCAGGGATCACAGACATAATACCACCATACCCAATTCCATGCACTCCTAGAAATCCAGGCCAGGATTTGGGAATGCTAAACAAACACTACCAACTGAGCTGCCTTCCCTTTGCCTCCTTTAAAAAGGTTGGGGGTTGTTTTGTTTGTTTGTTTGTTTGTTTGTTTGTTTGTTTTTGCCTTGAGTTGGGGTTTTGGTTTTACTTTTCCCTTAGTTCTTCTGGAACTTCGTGGTATGTGTGCAATAGTGTCTGTGTTATAAAATAGATGGCAAACCAGAGGAATCCGAAGTCAGAAAACTATTCAACACAAGTGACAAAAGGTTATCTTGGAAAACCAAAGAAGGGTTCACACCCATTTGCAGGTAATGGGAGTCCTTCTCTTACAATCTAAGGAAGTTTTGTTGGGTTAGAAGATTGGGAAGACTTGGTTCAGTCCTATGCTGATTCCCCAGCTGTCACACTGGAGTCCTTGAGCTCCCATTTGCTTGCGGGTGTCAGTGAGGAGACCTGGGTAGTCTATGGGGCCTCTGGCAGTGGAACCAGTGCAAGAATGGATTTTGAAAGCCCATTCCCATGGATGGTTACTCTCAGCCTAGATACACAGGGAAGGACCTAGGCCTTGCACCAAACAATATGACAGACTTTGATGATCCCCCATGGAAAGTCTCACCCTACCTGAGGAATGGATGCTGTGGGATGGGGGAGTTAGTCAGGGACACAGGAGAATGGGAGGGAGAGGGAACTGGGACTGATACATACAACAAAATTGTTTCTAAACTACATTTTAAAAGTCTCAAAAAAAAGATTGGGAAGGGAAGGGGACTATATGTGTGGACAGGTGGCCAAGGTTCATCTTCCAAAGATGGGATTGGATCTTGTGGTTTGCTTTATTCTTTGTAAAATATTCTGTGCCATTCTTAGAACCAGAAATACAGGTTAAGTGTCCAAGATGGTGGCACAGCTATTACTTGGGATAATGGAAATCATATTAGAATAGCAGATAACATGTTATCCATGTTATTTGTGCACTAGTCAAAAAACACCAGGAATTTGTCCAAATCAGTTTAAGCCAAATCCTATTCAAGTTTATATTCTAAAAAATTATGACTGTAGTGACTAGGTGATAATATCTCTCTTCAACACTTTCTTGAGAGCCTTAGCAACATCCTTATTCCTGAGAGTATAAATCAGGGGATTCAGGGTGGGAGTAATGATGCTATAGAAAACAGAACCAACTTTGTCTTGCAGTGGAGTGTGCTGGGACCGGGGCCTCATGTAGGAGAAGATGCAGGCACCATACAAGAGGGAAACAACAATGATATGAGAGCTGCAGGTGGCAAAGGCGTTTCTCTTACTCCCAGCTGAACGCATCTGAATCACGCTGTGGAGAATGAAGCCATAGGACGCAGAGACGAGGATGATGGGGAGGAGGAGAAGTACAATGCTACTAATGTAGACTGTGTTCTCATACGTGGTGATGTCCCCACACACCAACTTCAAAACAGCTGGAAATTCACAGAAGAAGTGGTGGATGATTCTTGAACCACAGAAAGGGAAGCTCATCAAGATGGATGTGTGGATTAGGGAGTTCACAGATGCACTCAACCATGACATGACAGCCATCATCACTCCCACTCTTCTGCTCATGAGCACAGTATATCGTAAGGGGTGACAGATGGCAACATAGCGGTCATAGGCCATGAGGGCGAGGAGGAGACACTCTGCTCCACCCAGAGACAGGTACATGAAGTGCTGGGTAGCACAGCCCACAAAGGAGATGGACTTCTTACCAGACAGGTAGTTGCTAGCCATCTTGGGGATGGTTGTGGAGACATACATCAGATCCATGAGTGACAGCTGGCTGAGCAGGAAGTACATCGGGGTGTGAAGATGGGGGTCAGCACAGATGAGGAGGATGGTGAGGCTGTTGCCAATCACTGCGATGAGGAAGACCAGCATCAGCAGGAGGAAAAGACAGATGTGGTTAAGGGAGTCATCAAAGAGCCCTTGAAGGATGAAGTCTTCCAGGGAGGTCTGGTTCCACCTCCACATGCTGCCTTCCTCAGCCCCTGAGGGGACAGGAGTGTGATGCAACAATGAGCATATCCTTTCTCAGGAAAAATGTGAATACATACATATATATGCATACATACATACATACATACATACACACACACACACACACACACACACACATTTAATATTGTTCTTTCATGGGCGGGCAACGGCAATTTAAAGCGGTCGTGCTCAACCGTCCTAACCCTACGACTCTGTGTTACAGTCCCTCAAATTGTGGAGATCCATAAAATTATTTTCATTGCCAATTCATAACTGCACATTTACTACTGTTACAATTTGTAACTTAAATATTTTAGCTGTGACTGACAGATTGAGAACCACTGGTATAAAGAAACACAAATGAGTACTAAGATAAAATATAACAAAGACAGTCTATACATACCCCAAGAAAATGAACTGGAGATATATCCTGCATATATTTGTGACCATGAAATTGTGACTCAGGGACTGGAGAGACTAGGATTGCAGCAATCATCAGCTTAGCTTCCCCATCAATACTTTATCCACTTCTCATCTGAAGACAAATAGGACTGGCCATTAATCTCCATGGTGTGCATAAGTCAAATAAAATAGATCTCACAAGTAGCAACTACCCTACCTTTCTTTGTGTTTTTTTCTCCTCTCTATTGCATCATAGCAAAGTCCTCCTGATTTAAACACTCCCAAAAACAGGAAGGAGGAAAGAGGTTCCTGAGACTCAGGAATTAAACTTCACACATCTAGGAAAGCTGAAACTTGCAAGAGTCTTGAGGGTCCCAGCCCTAAGTTGTGGAAACTGTAAACAAGAGCTGGAACAGGAGCCTGGAATCAGCCATGCTGCTAAGAGGCGAGGCTCCTATAGGTGGCGCTGGCTGCAGGCTATGCAGAGAGCTCCAGGGCTATGAGTCTCACAAGTGGGCTTTTCTGTGATGCAGCTACTTTTTACTTCTCCCTGCTCCTGCAAGTAGCCACTGCCCCTTACTCCTTGCTTCACCAACTTGAATCAATACTTTAGCCTGCCATGCATTCAGGAGCGAGTAGATGCTGTTTTTACCTGGTCTTCCCAAGAGAAATGTCTCACACAACACCTAGTAAAGACCTACCAAGGTCATCGTACATTCCAGATTGTTGATGCTTTCAAGCAAAGAACTCAGAGCTAACAGCGTTCTTCAAAGCATAGTTGAACAATGAAGAGTCATACTTCTTAGGCTGTGGGCTGACTAAGGCAACTGTCACCTTATGTGGATAAACAGTCTCATCCTGTGTGGATTAACATATGAACCTTCAGTCCAGGAAGACGGGGAACTGATGAAGGAACCTTCCTCTAAGCTTGACAACCTGAGGTCAACCCAGAGGGTACAAATGATAGAGAAGAAAACTAAATCCTCCAGGTGTCCACTGACCTGCAAATACATGCCACAGGCAGGTCGTACACACACAAATTAATTAAGTAATTGATTAAAAGGTAACTAAAGATGAAATAAGTTTAGAGACATGAATGAAGTACTCCTGCATTCCCTCTGAGTACTTCAGCACTGAGAGATCTACACACATTCTTAGCAGTATACTTCTCATTCTCTTACCTCATATGTGTGCAGCCATCGGTCTCAGTGGACACCTACAGCAGAAGCACTCCATTGTCTGGTATCTTGCTTCCCCTGGGGAGTCCCTGACATTTCCCTATTCTTCTTCTGCTTCTGCAAAGACACTTTTCTCCATTTCTATAGAAGCTGTCTTCCTGTGTTGCCTCAGCGACATTCTGTGACTTAAGGGATAGCTGACATTGGCCAAGTTACTAACAAGGGTTTCCTCATAAGAAACCTGAGTTTAGCAAAAGCGTATATGTGCAACGGAGCGGCAGGAGAGTCCACCTGACATAAACGTTTGCCACTGTTCTGACAAGCAGGCCTTCCCTTTAGTGCACCTCACACTTCCCTCTCTAACCCCAGAGATGTCCACTTACTAGTGGAGGTGCATTAATTACCCTAATAGCAGCACCACAGGAGCAACAGGACTCTCATAGCCTGAGTCCACATTCTGAACTCTTGCAGCAAACAGAACCACGGGCTTGCTCAGATCTGGATCTTTATCAACCTATAGGCAGGAAGACTGAGCACCAGGGCTTCTGCCACTCATGCTAGTTGGGCACTGCAACCATGCCAAGTATTCTCTCTGACTCAAAACCTCTACTGTAGCTGCCTTTCTATCCCAGCTCAAGAGATGGGGCAACAGTGATTTCCAGGGAAGTGATACAGTTTTGATCATCCCATTTAAAAGCAAGAAAAATTAGGATTTAGATTTCCCTGCTGTTTGGATTCCTAAAGCTCTCTCCATTATATAAAATAGATGCTCTGTTTCTGTTATTAAGGCTGATTTCAGCAGATGCAGCCAAGAAACCCCTTTCTGACTCTACAGCGGTCGCTGCAGACACCAGAACGGATTTGGCCTTCTGTGAGCCAGACATGAGGAAAGAGGAACCCCATCTATGAGAAATGAAACTCTCTAAGCACACAGGACCGATGATGCCAGCTGAGCCAAGATGACAACACTAAATTGTCACCTAGGGGCTTTCCCACAAAGGTCGTGTTCTGGACCTCTTCTGGGAACCTATCAAAGACAACAACAATGATGTGCTCTGCCCTTTGAGAAATGAATCACATAAGACTTTATTTACTTGGAGTTTGTTTGTGGAGTCGGGGAATGAGGTATCTTGGAAGAGTTGGCCCTGGGGACACTGCAGGAATATTCTCACTAGGGATCCATTAAGCATGATGAACCGTTGCTAGAGTCGTGTTTACTTGTTGTGGAAATGCTTCTCTCTTTACTCTTTCTGTCCAATCCTAAGACAAAGTCTAAGCAAACATCTAAGAAGAAGAGTGTCCCTAGAGTTCTGAGAGGCAAGCAGAGCACTGATCTCTGTGTTGAAAGATGTTAGATAACCAGCCACCACGCCTGCACTTCTCAATTCTGGCAGACACTGCTCAATCATAAGACACCCTGTGGGAGGGAAGAAACTTTGGCAGGCACTCAGTCCAATAGACAGGCTCAGAGCTCTCCATCCTGAGGGACTATAAACTACATGGGGAAGGCAGTGTGGTGGGCAACCAGCCTATAACAGGGTTTCACTCTAACCCTCCCCAAGATTCCACTGGAGATGGGCTTCACACTCCGCACAGACAACAGGGCCCTGACCTGGATAATCACGACCCAGTCCCACACCTACTTAACTTATTTGTGGGATAACTTCTGATCTTCCTCTTACAAACACCACTCTGGGTGTTGGAGTGCGGCTCAATTATGAAAGCAAGAGGAACACTGTTTGACACCCAGCCCCTAATGTAAAAACTGGCATGTACCAGAAATCCAAGTGCAGGAGAGATGAAGGCAAGGAACACCTATGACTTCCACCAAGTAAGCCCAGCTCAACAAATGAGATCTATGTTCTGTGAAAGATCCTGTCTCAAAAAAAATAGTAAGTGTCATGAGACTAGAGAAGAAACTTGATGAAAGCCTGCAGTCTCTATAGGCACTGGTACTCACCACTGTACAGAAACCAATGCACACAAAGAATGACTGGTATTTATAGTTGTCTCCCAAACCCCAAAACTGGAGCAAGGCTCCATGAATTATTATTTCCTTGTATACAGGAACCAAAAAAAGCTCAGTCTCAAACAGTAGGCCGCCTCTCAAGATGGCACCTGGCTCTAGCACTCAGAAATGTGGGGAGCAGTGAAAGTGATTTCTGCTGCAATGCTAGATCACCACACAGGGGAAGTGATTCTCACAAAATCTCTACAGTGCATTTAAAGCTTGTAAAATCCATCGTTTGCTCCTGTGTGTACAGCTGCCAGTCTTTTGAAACCAACAGTACCTGTCTCGCCTTGCTGTACTCTGTGTGTGTGTGTGTGTGTGTGTGTGTGTGTGTGTGTGTGTTACAAACGTGTATATGTTTCTTTGGATAACCATGTGTGTCCACAATGCTGGATGCTGGAGGTGATAGATGACCTCTATTCCAATGGAACTCCACCTTGTTTGCTAAAGATTGAGTTTCTCAATGATTCTAGATCTTCCTAGTTATAGCTAGACTAGCTAGCCAGGAAATCTCAGGGATGATTCTGTATCCTTATTCCCTACCTAGGATTGAGATGATAGGTGTTTGTAGTCTTGATCAACTTTTTACATAGCCACTGTAACTTGGTTGGTACAGTTCTTGCCTAGCATTCATGGATGCCTGAGCATTATGCAAACCAAGAGTGGTGTCACATGTCCGTAATCCCAAGTAGAGAAAGGAGGATCAGAAGTTCATGGTCATCTTTGCCCAATATAGTGGGTTTCAGGGCAGCTTGATCTATGTAAGGCCCTGTCTCAATAAAACGGTCAAGGAAGATGAATTGACTACTGTATAAGAATGGAGGCGGGGAGAGAGAACCAGTAGTTAGTTATATCAGGATTTTCCTGGTTCTCATTTTGTCTAAATACTCTCTGTCAAGTCCATAAGAAGTATAAGGAAGAAAAGAACTGTTTGGGAAGAATCATTCTAGCTACCGAAGGAAGAAACACCAGGAACAGGAACACTGGATTATTGCAGTGGAGCTGGAGAGAGGGGCCACTGACTAAAACACCTGCAGCTCCAGAATGGAGACCTGAGTTTGAACCCCAGAACCCATGTACAAGTCAGACATGGTAGCACATATCTGTAATCCCAGCATTCCTACAGGCAGATGGGAGGTGGAGGCAGGACTCCACTCCACTGTACAGACAGCCATCTCCTCTCTGTGTCTTCAGATGTCTTCTCTTAAAATCTCTTATTTGTCTTTGTAGTTGGGTTACTTTGTCCAGGATGGTTTCTTCTAGTTGCACTCCACAAGATGTAGCCCACACCCGACATTCTTGGATGGCCAAGAACACGAGACTAGAAAGGCCACAGGCCAAGGAGCACTGCACATACCGCTGTTCTCATAAAGGAACACAGTAGCAATACAATTCCTAGGGACGGGCTGCTGAACCGTTACATCAGTGCTCAGCATCATCAGAGAGGCTTCCTCCTGTACTGGATGGGAACTAACACAGACCTCCAGGATAACGTGAGGCGAGAGGGAGAGTTTAGGATGTTCAGTCCTAACTGAGATGCCTTCGTAAAATCCCTCCCCTCCTGCTTCAGGGAGCTGTGAGGAAGAGGAGGTAGAAAGGCAGTAAAGGCCAATGATGATGGGTAGAGCCCAGGAAACAGTGTCTTCCAGACACCACAGGACGGGTGCAAATATGGACTCACAGAGACTGTGGCAGCACCCACAGGGCCAGTGCAGGTTAAAGCCAGATGGGGCCCAGAGACCTGAGATGGGAAGTGAGCATGAGTTCTCACCCTATCCAAGAAGCAATCTGCAACTGATGCTCGCTCTCAAAGAAAGAATAAGCGACGGCTAATGGAGTCTCCCTGGGTAAATAAACAACACTGGTACCCAGCAGTCAAACGCCAACAGGGAGTGAACTCAGTGGTAGAGCTATAGACACCTCTCATAGTGCCGTGGTATTTGCTTGTGTATTAAGGTGCCTGGGCTTGTGTTTCTATGTGTTTTAGGTTTACTTTGACTTTTTAATAGCTTTTGTAATCTGATGGCTGCTTCTACTCCCTCTCCTCCCAGGACTTCCCCTCCAAGCCCGCCTGAGTCCTCCATCCACTCCTCCTCCACTCCTATTCAGATGAGGAAGGCATCCCATGAATATCAACCAAATGCCATATCGAGTGGAAGGCTGGCCAAGGAGGCCCAGTATGAGGGAAAGGGTCCTAAAAGCTAGCAAATGAGTTCAGAGACAGTGTCTGGTCCCACTGTTAGGAGTCCCACATGAAGACCAAGATACTCAGTAGTAACATACTGCAGAGTTCCAGTTCAATCAGTTCAACCTCTGTGAGCCCCTTGAGTACAGTTTACATGATTTTGTGAATTTTCTTGTGTTGTCCTGAACCCAACTGGCTCCTATAATCCTTCTGCCCCTAGCTCTGCCTAATGTTTGGCCGTGGGTCTCTACATATGTTTCCATCAGTTGCTGGATGAAGCCTCCTGATGAAAATTTGGCTAGGCACCAATCTATGAGTATAGCAGGATATGATTAGAAATCATTTCATTGGTTTTTTTTGGCCATTCATTTTTGGTTCTGTCTTTTGTCTCTGGGATTTTCAGACACTGGGTCATGGCCCTCCAGGCAGTGACAGGGGTGGGCTTCCTCCTGTGGCATGAGTGTGAAGCTGGACCAGTCATTGATGGGTCACTCCAACAATCCCTGCACCACCTACACCCCATCTCATCTTGTAGGTAGGACAGCCTGTAGGCTGAAGGTTATGTGGCTGGTTTGGTGTCCCAATCCCTCCATAAGAAGTCTCGCCTGGTTACAGAAATTGGCCAGTTTAGGCTCTGCATCCCCCATTGCTGGGGTCTTAGCTAGGGTCACCTTCATAGAATCTTGGGAATGTCCATTGAACTAGGTTTCTAGTTTATCCCGAGATGCCCCCCAATTCCAGGAGAGTCTCCAAGCATGCTCTACCTCCATCCTTCTCCACTTGACACCCCCTGTTCCCATAGCACCACCCCCTCCTCCACCCATAGAATCTATTTATTTCCCCTTCCCAGGGACATTCATAAAATACCCCCCACCTTGCAGTTTCCTTGTTAGCTTCTCTGTGTCTGCAGATTATAAAAAGGGTATGTTTTAATTTATAGCTAATATCCACTTAAAAGTGAGCATATATCATGTTTGTCTTTCTGGTTCTGGGTTACCTCACTCAGGGTGATTTTTTTTCTAGTTACAACCATTTGCCTGTAAATCACAAGATATCATTTTTTTACATCTCCATACTCCATAACATAATGTCCCACAGTTTATTTTTCCATTCTTCAGTTGAAGGACATATAGATTGTTTCCAGTTTCTGACTACTATAAATAAAGCTGCTGTGAACACAGCTAAGCAAGTTTTCTTGTGGTATGATAGAGTGTCCTTTGGTATATGCCCAGGAATGGGATAGCTGTGTCTTGAAGTAGATCCATTTCCAATTTTCTGAGAAATCACCATGTTGATTTCCAAAGTGGTTGTACAAATTTGAACCCTGCATTGGGGTTTTGAGAGTCCATACCACACCTTTCCGGGCCTGTTTTTGTTTTTCTTTAAATTAGACACAAGCTTGCTTCACATGTCAATCCCAGCTCCCTCTCCCTCTTCTCCTCCCTCGGCCCCCATCAATCCTCCCAACCCACCACCCTATCTCCAACCACTCCACAGGCAGAGTGAGGTCCTCCATGGGGGAATCTCCAAAGTCTGCCATACCATCCAGGGCAGGGTCTAGGACCGCCCCGATGTGTCCAGGCTGAGAGAGCATCCTTCCATGTGGAATGGGCTCCCAAAGTCCATTCTGTACCTTGTTTTGGAGGGTTTGACTCATATCCCCAGGCTTGCTCAGCTAGTATTCAGAAGCAGAGCCAACTCCCCAACCCAAGCTTAGCTCTGTGGAGCTCCCTCCAACTCTGTCTTTTTCCCAATACCCTTCAGTAAAATCATTCCTCATTGATGACATTCAGATCTCATGGCTATTGCTCAGAACTCACACAAAAACAAACACAGAATCTAGACACCTGTATTTTATATATAAGATTTATTATGTAGGCTGCTTATATAAGATTGCTGAGCTACAGGAAGATGGACTTATCCTATGCTATAGTGGTTATGGGTGACAGGTTCTAATAGAAATATGTCTGGTTCCAAATCTAAAGGCAACAACAAATCCTCACAGAATACAAAGGTCTTGGGGCCTTTGAAATAATGAATCTTTACATCCCTATTTGGTGTGCTGCAGACATACTGCAGAAAAAATAAATAAGAAGCATCCCAAAAAGAATGTGAGATTTCCAAAAGACAAATCCCAAAACTCAAAGAAGCACTTGGATGATAACAGACATTCAGTAGCCCTCTGTGTGATTTAACACTCATTATAAAAATTGAACATACATGTTTTCACTAAGAACACACACAATATGGCCAGACATTTTGGTGCGTACCTTTCATCGGAGTACTCTGAGGTTCAAAGTCAGTGGATCTCTGAGTTCAAACCAGCCTGGTTGACACACTGAACTCCTAACCAGCCAAAGTTGCAACATGATGCCCGGCCTCTGAGTGTTTGTGTGTGTGGTGTGTGTGGTGTGTGTGTGTGGTGTGTGTGTGTGTGTGTGGTGTGTGTGGTGTGTGTGTGTGTGGTGTGTGTGTGTGTGGTGTGTGTATGTGTGTATGTGTGGTGTGTGTATGTGTGGTGTGTGTGTGTGGTGTGTGTGGTGTGTGTGTGTATGTGTGTATGTGTGGTGTGTGTATGTGTGGTGTGTGTGTGTGTGGTGTGTGTTAGTGTGTGGTATGTGTGTGTGTGGTGTGTGTGGTGTGTGTGTGTGGTGTGTGTGTGTGTGGTGTGTGTGTGGTGTGTGTGTGTGAGTATGCATGTGTGTGTGGTGTGTGTGTGTGTGTGAGTGTGTGTGGTGTGTGTGGTGTGTGTGTGTGTGGTAGTTTGTGTGTGTGTGTGGTGTGTGTGTATGTGTGTATGTGTGTATGTGTGTATGTGTGTATGTGTGTGGTGTGTGTGTGTGTAGTATGTGTGTGTGAGTGTGTGTAGTATGTGTGTGTGTGAGTGTGTGTGGTGTGTGTGTATGTGTGTATGTGTGTATGTGTGTGTGTAGTATGTGTGTGTGTGAGTGAGTGTGTGTGTGTGGTGTGTGTGTGTGTATGTGTGTATGTGTGTGTAGTATGTGTGTGTGGTGTGTGTGTGTGTGTGGTGTGTGTGTGTATGTGTGTATGTGTGTGTGTGTAGTATGTGTGTGTGTGAGTGTGCGTGTGTGTGGTGTGTGTGTGTGGTGTGTGTGTGTATGTGTATATGTGTGTGTGTGTAGTATGTGTGTGTGAGTGTGTATGTGTGTGTGTGTGGTGTGTGTATGTGTGTGTGTGTGTGTGTGTGTGTATGTGTGTGTGTGTGTAGACCTGAGCTCAATCTTCTCAACCTTGTCTGCTGCTCTTCTGGAGTCACCCACCCTCTTTGAGCCTCCCTGACCTGAAAGTGCCCATTCAGACAGGCTGGCTAGTCTGGGAGCCACAGGCATTGACTTGTCCTCACTTCTACAACACTGGCATTATGAGCTCATGGCACCATGCCAGGTTTTTTACACTCAGCTCATGCTTGCACAACAAGCACTTTACTAACTGAGCTATCACCTTATATGAACCCTTCTAGAGATATTTTTACACTGGGCCCCACCTCTCAAATGGTTTGCTGAAACATAATGTACGGTATGGCATGCTGGAAAAAATATTACAATAGTGAGCTTAGAAGTTAAAATTTCACTCTTGTCCTCCTCAAAGGGCATAAGGAATCTTGGCCTTAAAAGTCTTAGTGTTTTGCCCTGATCGGTGTACGGAGTACAGCCTGCCCAGCATTGTATTCAGGACAAATACAGTTGCAGTCCCTAGGCAACAACATCCCTCCTCAGCACTCTGTTCAGAGCCTTAGCAACATCCTTATTCCTGAGAGTATAAATCAGGGGATTCAGGGTGGGAGTAATGATGCTATAGAAAACAGAACCAACTTTGTCTTGCAGTGGAGTGCGCTGGGACCGGGGCCTCATGTAGGAGAAGATGCAGGCACCATACCAGAGGGAAACGACAATGAGATGAGAGCTGCAGGTGGCAAAGGCGTTTCTCTTACTCCCAGCTGAACGCATCTGAATCACACTGTGGAGAATGAAGCCATAGGACGCAGAGACGAGGATGATGGGGAGGAGGAGAAGTACAACACTACAGATGTACACTGTGGTCTCATAGAGAGTGACATCACCACACACCAACTTCACAACAGCAGGATATTCACAGTAGAAGTGGTGGATGATTCTTGAACCACAGAAAGGGAAGCTCATCAAGATGGATGTGTGGATTAGGGAGTTCACAGACGCACTCAACCATGACATGACAGCCATCATCACTCCCACTCTTCTGCTCATGAGCACAGTATATCGTAAGGGGTGACAGATGGCAACATAGCGGTCATAGGCCATGAGGGCCAGGAGGAGACATTCTGCTCCACCCAGAGACAGGTACATGAAGTGCTGGGTAGCACAGCCCACAAAGGAGATGGACTTCTTACCAGACAGGTAGTTGCTAGCCATCTTGGGGATGGTTGTGGAGACATGCATCAGATCCATGAGTGACAGCTGGCTGAGCAGGAAGTACATCGAGGTGTGAAGATGGGGGTCAGCACAGATGAGGAGGATGGTGAGGCTGTTGCCAATCACTGCGGTGAGGAAGACCAGCATCAGCAGGAGGAAAAGACAGAGGTGGTTGAGGGAGTCATCAAAGAGCCCTTGAAGGATGAAGTCTTCCAGGGAGGTCTGGTTCCACCTCCACATGCTGCCTTCCTCAGCCCCTGAGGGGACAGGAGTGTGATGCAAGGGACAGAATTTGAGAAATAAGTTAGAAAAATAATTTTGTATTCTTTTTAATTTTCATTGCATATATTGGTTTTATATTCGGTTACTGCTACATATGGACTTTTCTCATTTTATATGTACCAATGTTTCTCCTGCCCTTATGCAGTGCCTGTGTAGGACAGAAAAGGGCATTAGATCTCCTGGAACTGCAGTTACAGAGGATCATGAGCCGAAATTGGATGTTGGGTACTCTTAACTGCTGAGTCATCTTTCCAGCCTTTGAATATGGACATTTTCATACCAGTTTATATCTGTTTCTAACTATTTCACATGCCCAATTATCCAAATAATTGGATCTTGCAAAACATGACCGCTCTGAAATCCCATAACACATAACCTCTATAAACATTTTCTCATTTGAAATACAGATGTCTGTCTACATAGGTGTGTATGCATGTGTATTTACACTGTGTATTGTTTCCTTTTCTTATTCCTTATTGTTTTACAGTTTCACACATTTACACAATGAATTTTAGTCATTTTCCCAAACTCATTTCCAAAGCTTATTCTTCTCCCTCTCCTGCCGGAACCCTTTTTTCGAGGAATCTCTCCTCCCGACCCCTGCTTTCGTTTCTTCTCTTTACATGTGGCCCATGGAGTTAGTAGCCCAAGTGGCAGCTTGTTTAGTGGAGCAGGGGCATTTGTGACTACACAGCTGAAGAAAATGATACTGTTAGCAGTCAGTAGTACCTCTGGCGAGGCCTCAGGGGCCAGTCCTCACCTGTGATTAAATGTTGATGGGCCCAGCCTTTGCAGGTCTTACAAGTTCCCTATTGCTTATTTTATCATACTCTCAAACTCCAGAATTCCAAGCAGTACAATAATCTTATACATCTGATTATAACGGGTCATGTTGTGAAATATCAGCCTTACCTGATATGGAAGCTTGTCCCGCGCTACCGTCTCGCCAGCAAGAACGACGCAGAACACTCGGATCCTTCTGCAGTAAAGCTTTAATGCATCTTGAGAGATAGATGATCAGCTTCTTAGAGGGAGACCCCAAGCTAAGAAACCCAGCCCCTTATATAAGCCTAGGAGCTCCGAGTGAGACGTGTAGAGCCGGGATTGGTGGTTTGCACATCACCCCAGATGACGTCACGGGAGAGGCACAGTTTAAACGGTTAACTCCAACTGACAGCGACAGTTAACTCTAACTGACAGCGACAGTTAACTCCAACTGACAGCGACAGTTAACTCCAACTGACAGCGACAGTTAACTCCAACTGACAGCGACAGTTAACTCCAACTGACAGCGACAGTTAACTCCAACTGACAGTGGATGTCAGCGCCATCTTCTAACGGCAATAGCGATAGCGAGGGCGGCTCCTCACATCTCCCCTATTCATTTATTTTTGAAGCAATAGGACACCCACAACTTTGGAGTGGAGATAGAGGTCAAATCCCCATGTGCAAATTCGGAACATGTACAAAGCTCCTCTCCAGGGTCTTATCCCCAGAGGAAGTCCTGACCAGTCCGATGTCTTTTTTCTGGGGGAAGGAGATCATGACATAGAACCTTCATGCAAGATGACTTATCTCCCAGGAGAAAGTCGTTATACCGCAGACCTCTCCTGTGCAGTGCTTAGCCTTGCAACTCCTTGGGCTGCTGAAGCCTACCCACTCTATCCCGTGCAATGAGACTAGCCTCGTGGGGTGCAAGAGCTGGGAGGCCAGCGACCTATTGCTTTAACATGGTTAACCAAATGTCAGGGATGCTCCGTGTTCTAAGGCAGCAAGTGCTTGTGCCACCACCACTTTCTCCTTTTGTTTGGGCTCTGAGCGTACACACCATCCAAAGCATCAACACTATTCCACAGCAGAGAACTAGGCTAAATGATCCTACCCCCACCCATTCCTTAAAATAAGAAAATGCAGATGAAATCCAGGGGAGAGGTCTTCCATCAGAGAAAGATCCAGATGCGTCGAATTCACTTGCAGGATCGCCATTCTCAACTCACGGAGTGTCTGCTCAAACTCAAAAGTCCAATTCTGTAATAAATGTTGAGACAGAGCTTTTGACAGGTTAGCTGCTCTTGTAAAATTCTCATATTGTACTAAGTGACACAAAGGCCAGGCAACTTTGTTCACATCCCAATTTGGCCATCTGCCACAATATATCCAATTGTTCCTGAACCAAATTAATCTGTTGGTTTACCAACATCAGGCCTCCTTGTATCTGAGAATTGGCAGTGGCCTGTTTATCTAGGACCATGGTCACAGTGGCCTATAGTTCATTAATGGTTTGAGTTGTCTGCACAGTGGCAGAAAGTGCAAGGGCCGAGGCGGTAACCGAAGCAGTAACCGCGGCGGTGGCTATCAGGCCCACAATAATAGCAGAGATCCCAAAAATCTCGCTTTTCCCTAAACAAACTCAAATTACTTGGCGCCTCAACAGGAGCTGGAATAAATCGAGGCATGCGCATTACCAAAGCAAAAGGGTGCTTAATAGCATCCCAGCATAATGCATAAAAACAATTCTAAGCAGAACAATTTATTTCTTTCTGATTCTTACCTAAGGTATCATTACTCACAACCCAAATAAAGGGCAGCTGAATAATTAGTTCTCTTAAAAGGGGTATACTTAACATTGGAGGAGGACCAATCAGATGATCCAGAGCTCTGTCCCTCACTCAGACTGTTGCCTAATGCCCCTTTCCAATCAAAAGTAATCTGTCCCTTCTCACTATCATAGGAGAAAGATCAGTACAGCTTCCATTAATTCAAAAGGATTAGCATTAGATCTTTCTGGATCCATATGAATAAAATTATCCTTTAATGAAGAAATCACAGTAAAGCACAAGCTTCCTACTAATGACAAGGTTCTCTCATCCTGAAAACTCTGTATCTGAGGATCTAAAGGCAAAAAGGCAAGCCCCAACTCTCTATTATTTGTGAAAAATCTAGGGAACACCTGGGCATTCTGCATCACTGGCATCGGTAGGGGAAGGTAGACATGATGGCCCACCGTAACTCTCCCATCATACTAGGAACCATCATCCCGAGTAGGAGAGTCTTCATCACCCACTTGGCCTCCATCCTTCTTATTCTGGAGTTGTGAAGGAGCTCTTCGAGTGAGTCTTTCAGGGATCCACAGGGGGTTTTCTTCCTCCTGTGGAAAAACACACACAGCTCCCCTGGATCTTATAAGAATAGGATCCGGGCCTTTCCAGAGATCAGTCAAGACATCTTTCCATTTTACCATTTCTTTTGGCCTATCAGGCTCTAAACTGTGGCGATCAGCCGCAGTGTGGCCTTGGGCATCACAGTTCAAGAAATTAAGGGTAAAAAGTGCCATGGATACAGCAACTCTTGGTACCGAGGGTAGAACATCCTCAATACTCCCCTTTTGTTTAATCAGATATGATTTGAGTGTACGATGGGCACGTTCCACAATGCCCTGTCCTTGAGGGTTATAAGGTAGGCCAGTTAGATGGGTAACATCCATTTGCCGACAAAACTGTCGGAATTTTTGAGAGGTATATGCTGGTCCATTGTCTGTTTTTAAAATTCTGGGTTTTCCCCAAGCACTCCAGGCCTCAAGGCAATGTTGAATCACATATGAGGCCTTTTCCCCTGTTAGGGGTGTGGCAAACATTACGCCAGAACAGGTGTCAACAGAAACATGAACATATTGAAGCCTTCCAAAAGAGGGAATATGAGTAACATCCATCTGCCACATCTGCAATGGTCTAATGCCACGTGGGTTTATTCCCATGTGGGGAGTAGGTAAGAATTCGCAGCAATTCTGGCATTGAGTAACAATTTCCCTAGCCTCTTTCCTGGATAGAGCAAAACGACGGCGCAAGGTCTCAGCCGTCACATGAAAGCGCTTATGGAATTCTTTTGCTGCTTGTGCATGGGTAGACAAGGCAGCGGCCACCAGCTTTGTAGCCTTGTCCGCTAAGTCATTCCCTAAGGACATGGGACCTGGGAGTCCAGAATGTGCTCGGACATGGGTAATGAAAACAGGAAATCTCCTATTTAACAAGGCAGCTTGTATCTTCTGAAAGATGTTAGCAACTCTGCTGGAGGATCTTATTATTCCAGCTATCTCAAGGAGATTAACTGCATTAACCACATAAGAGGAATCTGATACAATATTGAGGGGTCCTGGAAAAGCCTCAAGAACCTCCAGTACTATCAGACATTCTACAACTTGAGGTGAAGTTTCATTATATTGTTTAGATATAACCCTATCCTTGACCACATAAGCTCCCATACCAGTTTTTGATCCATCAGTGTACACCACAGTCCCATCTGGGAGTGGGTCTTTAGCTGTCACTTGTGGAAACACTATAGCCTGGTTTAGGGCAAACTGTAAAATTGGATGCTTTGGAAAATGATTATCAATTTGTCCTGAAAAGGAAGTAACTAAAACTGCCCAATCACTAGATGTGGCTGCCAAGGTCTGAACTTGTGCAGCAGTATAAGGCACAATCAAGGAATCAGGATCCCTGCCAAAATGTGTAACAGCTGCTTTTATTCCATGAAGCGCGAGCTGTGCAACAGCATCAGGGTACCAGTCAATAATCTTAGCAGGGGAAGCATTTGGATGAATCCAAAGTAATGGTCCATGTTGCCACAGGACTGCAGTTGGCAATTGAGCTGTCTTAAAAACACACAGATTAAAAGGTAGTGACTCCTCAATTCGTTGTAATTGTGCTTCCTGTAAGGCCTCTTCCACCATCTGTAAGGCTCGGTGGGCGGCAGGGGTAAATTTTCTGGGTGAGGAGATATGAGGCTCACCCTCCAGGAGATCGAAGAGGGGTTTTAGATCAGCAGATGGAATTTTTAAAAAGGGCCTCAACCAATTTATATCTCCCAGAAGTTTCTGAAAATCATTTAATGTTTGTAAGTGGTCTTTGCGAATTTCTATTTTCTGAGGAACTATATTTTTGGGAGTAATCTTTGAGCCCAAAAAGAGCCCTGTATCTGCAATTTGAACCTTTTCTGAGGCAATCTCTAATCCCCACTGTTTTAATTCAGCCACCAGCATGGGAAAAGCCTTTTGTAAAACATCTAACTCTTTGTGACAAATAAGAATATCGTCCATATAATGGATAACGATTAAAGATGTAAATTGCTTCCTAATTGGCTCCAAAGCCTCCTGCACATATAGCTGACATATTGTTGGGCTATTGGCCATGCCTTGCGGCAGTACCTTCCACTGAAATCTCTTGTCTGGTTCCATATGATTAAGAGAAGGGATAGTGAAGGCAAACCTTGGTCTATCCCGTGGGTAAAGTGGAATAGAGAAGAAACAATCCTTAATATCTATAATAATAAGCTTCCAATCTTGAGGAAGTGCAGAAAGCAAAGGAAGGCCTCTTTGAACAGGGCCAAAAAGATGCATCTGATTGTTAATGGCCCGCAGGTCGTGGAGTAATCTCCACTTCCCAGATTTCTTCTTAATAACAAAAATTGGTGTATTCCATGGGGAGGTAGAAGGCTCTAGATGCCCCAGCCGTTCCTGTTCTTGCACTAATCTTGTGACAGCCTCTAATTTTTCAGAGGATAGAGGCCATTGAGAGACCCATAACGGCTCCTCTGTTTTCCATGGTATGGGTCGTGAAGCCTCAACGGCCCCTAAATAAAACCCAGTCCTTTTCTACCCCGATTTCCGTGTTGTGTAATGGGTTTTATTCTGCCTTGTTCTTGCCTACCCAAGCCTCTACCATTTGTATACCCCATCTTTGCCATAATGGCTGATGCCTGGGGGAGTATTCATTAGTTAGGGTCATGCCCATGGCTTGTAACACATCTCGTCCCCATAAATTTACAGGGAGTGGCAACACATAGGGGGTAAAACATCCCTGTTTGCCTTCAGCATTCCGCCAGGTTAAGGCTGAGGCACTGATGGCAGGAGAGGACTGGTATCCAAGA